CGTCTGGGGCTACCTTGTGCGAGACGTTTACAGTGCTGGTAAGCAGTACATGACGCTGACTGAGCTCAGAGATTCTATCCTGAAGGCATGGGAGCACTTGGACATGTCACGGCTTCAAAACTTAGTAAAATCAGTGCATGATCAAGTTGGAGATGTCATCGAAGGAAAAGGTAAGAAGACAATGCCCTAAATAGTAATTTCCTGCTAAAATAGTCCCCCACCGCGCGTGAAGTTCACGCTGCTACGTACTTTTGTCCAGGGTCAGAGTGATGGTCACTTCTTGATCTCCGCAACGAGGAATCGTCTGTGACTAAAAAAACGGTATGCACAGGTAGCGTTTTGTCTCAATAGCGTTTCTACGCCGTTTTAGGGTAATTCGCTGAGAATTGACGTAAATATTTGAGAAATAGTGATGGCTACATATTTTTGGCCAGCACTGTATGTTTAAACATATTTGGCGTCAGGATCAGCATTTAACAACATCAGGATACTTTTTTTCACAATATATTTCCTGTTACAACAAGCATTTACTTTAGGTAGGACATGTTTGTAAAACGATGCATTATGCCACTGCTAGAACTTCTTTTGGTAAGCCAAACTATTTAATGAAGAATATCCCCAAAAACAACTTTTAGAGTTTAAATAGTAATTATTGAAAAAAAATTAACCGCGTTGTCAAATATAGTTTAAATTGGATATTGAATTTTTTATTGGCGATTGCGTAAAAAATGCATTAGGGCCTTGTTGTACTTTCGTGTTCCCTACCGGTATTGATAGTACAGACGATCCCTTCGGTAATCATCGCGGAGAGAACCCACAATTTTTTCCCGGCCAAAGGTATTCCTATTCACGTATGTACCATAAAAATGGTTCCAAATACACCGCCTCCAGTAGTGGAAACGATTGGCTTACCTCGTCGCTGGCGTTTCACAATGGGTATATCTCCCGTTTCTAGTTTTGACTCGTCGCACCAAGATGCCCTCCTCTCCAGCCCATCCAGTTCGACTCACACTCACTAAAGCTCAACGACTACAAATATGCCAACACCACGTTCAAAACCCCACTCTGTCCCAAAATGAGCTTGTTATGGGCTCAGA